ACTCCCTCTGACGCGAAATAAACCAATATCCCGAGTTATTCAGTTACTCCTAACAGTACATTGACTGAACTGCAAAAAGAGAACCGATGATGGGATGTGCACGAGCAGAGCAGCTGGACTGAGTCTCGTCCTGCTGGGAGATGGCATCACAGTATGTTAAGGGGCGTAACATTTCCGTCACATTCTTGAGGTATTCAGCCAATCACAACACACTGGATAGCTGGCCAATCAGAGCACACCTCGCTTTTTTAGAACGATGAGCTTTGTAAAAATTGACGCGTTTCAGGTAGGGTTGTGTACCGAAACCCGGTACCAATATGGCACCGGTACCTATGTAACCGGTATGTACTAGAACCGAATCCGAACGCAGATTTCGGTGCCATGCCTGAGCGATCTATTTAAATATTTGTCCTCTGGTTCTCCGAAACGGACGTAAGAAACATCATCGCAGCACCGCACGTCCAAAATAATTTCCCGACTGAGAAAATGCACGTGAACTCAAGTCATAAAGGTCTAATAATACAAATCCAACACATCTTTGTAGTAACGACTGTCCATGTTGTTTTCACATTCCGACTTAAAAGCACAACTCGGAAAATGAGAGCATTCGAGGAGGAGTAATGCAGTAATTACACTTGCTCTGATGGCAGCAGGTAGCCTTCCGTTAACTAAGTTAAACATGCTTAAATTAAAATGCCTAAAGCTAAACCTCCCTTGTATTCACATTTCTAAACCTGTTGTCCAACAAAAGAGAAAATTATAACCTTTTTACTCCACAACACCAGTCAAATGCTTCCTTTTGTGATCTGATGAGGCTTCTTCACAGAATGAGGCAGAAAATATGTTCCATATGCTACTTTAAAAAGAATACATCTTACACATACAGTGGATACATTTTCACTACTTATGAGTTTTAAACGATTGTCTGTTAAAATCGTCATGCAAGGTTCTGTTTCTTTTGTTGTAAGAGAAGTTTTGTAAGGTTTTCAGACAGTAGCAGGAAGCAGATGTTCCATGGGTCATATAGCGTCACGCTGTATATCCCGTGCTTGCAGGCCCGAGGGCGTGATTAAATTACTGTCCTTTTCCTGTTTGGACATAATAGTTCCATCCATTGGTGGTCACAAGACATCGTGCTTTCTATATGTTGTGAACAAACCTTTTCAGTCCTGATACACAGAAAGCTTTGTTGTCTCCTGATTGAATTAGTT